TTTGCTAGTTGTTGTTTTTTCAACCATCTATACATTTGGTTGTAGTGCTGTCGCTATTCACATTTTCCCTCTCCTTTATTCCTTTTCTTGCCACTGCACCAATATGTAACCCATAGCCTTAATGTTATTATCTCGGTTATCTTCTCCATGTCTGACTGCGTTGCCGCAAGTGTTGTTTTCGTAGGGATATCCTCCTGTACCAAAGCCGATTCTAGAATCACAGCTTTGAGAACCATTCTGTTCACTACCAATTGTCGTTGTTGGACAACAATAACTGTATTCGCAGGAACACCGCTCACGTTACTCCTAACTCAACTTGTTTTTATCTTACACATGAGCACGCAGCCCAAAGCAAAGAGCCGACCTGTCAATTCACATGGCAACGAAACACTCTTAAAATAAAAGTACAGGACGCGGGAGGGACACCAATGATACCAATTCTGGCCTTGGAAAAGGTTAATTTAAGTCTAGGATCATCTTACAGTGTAGGCATCTGCATTGAATCCCTTAATCTAGCAGTTGAGCTACATCGAAGCAGAAGGACCAATAAGGCTCTTCCACGTGTCACGCCCCAGTGATGTGTTGCGATGATTCCTATCAACGATCAATGGGTACAGAGAGTCCGCCTCCTCATTTATGACGATAAACCTGTGCTTTCGGGCGACCCTCAAGCCAAGACAGATCTTTGAGAAGCATGTGCTCCAGTAAGTTGATAACTTGGTCTCATTTGAATCAAACCCAGTCTTGCCTCCTTAAAGGTGAAATTCCATTTTATCGTCCCAGTATAGAGAGTTGAAATTAAAAGTGGTCTAGGTAAAAATGCAAAAAGCTATTCAGGACTACTAGCTCCAAAGATTAATCATCAGTTGTATGCGTCGTGGTCTTTACAGAATAGTCCTTATTTTCAAAACGACTTTAAAGGAGTTTAATTTTCTTGTAAGTGAAAACTTCCCGTCATATGGACACCGGGACTCGCTCAGGAAAATAGGCCAAAGGTTATTCGGAAATGGGCTATTGGAAGCAATTGTGATCCCAGGCTGGGCATTACGCGCTGTCATCTTATACTTTTTGTTGATAACATGATGTGATATATAGTTGTATGTGTTCTATGTGGATGTGCTCTATCTGTATATGTTAGGTGATTGGCTACATAGTTATGAGGGAGTATGTTTGTGAATACTGCTATTGTACACGCTTTCCAATATTTTTCAATATTTTCCGTTGTCAGGGATTTCTTCCCTTTTGCCCATCCACATTACTTTTGGTCGACAGTATTTTCGAAAGGTAAAAAGTTCACACTGAAAAGGAAACATTTTTCTCTAATTCATTACCCCATAAACGGGAAGAGATTAAAGGGTCTTTGATACGTGGTTCATGGTAAAACTTATCCAATGCTCAAACCCGCATCTTTGATCTGTCNTTGAATTCAAGGAGCAGCGTAATAGCCCAATTCCAAGTTATCGCATGACAGAGCCCTGGTGCCGAAGTTGTGGCACGAGAGCGAGGCTATGTGCGAAGTGCTGCTTGATGGCGCGGAATATAAAAGCTCATAAGGAAGATTTCATGCTCGCTTGATCGTTTTGTTTATAAGATGGTTAATTGTTCTGTTGCTTGCTGCTCAAATGGGAATCAAAATCGTCGAGATCTTTCGTATTTTGCTTTTCCGTCGGCAAGGCAAGTGAGCCTAACAACTCGGAATCGGACTATTTCAACACTCACTTTAGTTCTGTTTAGACAATATATAGAGTATGATACAACGTGTCGTGATAAATTGATATACCTTTAATGAAAAATATTTTTTTTAATTCACCCATATATTTACACTGAGCCTTAAAGTACCACCTCGATTAATAAGTCATGTGAAGGCTGTTATATTGTTGTGAGAAACCGTTGCAATTTACAATTTGATTGTCTGAGGGAAGTGCTATCTTTCTGCTTTCTTTATAATCTTTCTTGAGTTGTTTGCGGTTTTCAATCATTGCATATAACTTACATCAACTTTAATTTAATACAAATGTTACCACAATGAACGACTATTTTTTTTTTAGCTTTTGTTTTAACAGGCCATCTTAAAACAATTGCACAAGAGTCAATTTCCGTTTCGCTTTCAAAAAAGTGACAATGATCTCCTTTTTGAAACTTCAGCTCGCTTTTTTTTTCTACCTTTGTGTTGCCAATTTTTACAGGGAAAGCTTCAGCTTGTCTAATCTTTGGGTGACCATCCATGTTTAAGGTTTTGTCACAAATCTATCTAGGCAACATTATTCTTATTCATAATTCTATTTATGTTCAGCTTTTTCTTTCCTTAATTTGGTTGTACCATTACGATAAATCCTATTTTTCCTTTGACTTATATGTACCTTTCATAAGCGTCCTTGCAACTGGAAACTGCGAGAACAAAAGTATTGAGACAGTGTCAAAAGTTTCCGATGATTATTATCTATTTTGTATGAAGTAAAGTTGTAAACATGGCAGATTGTACCATTTTGGTTGGTTGAATAATGGATTGCGTAGCTGACATAGTTTCAGATCCATAGGGTTTTAGGAAAATCCCTTGATATCGGCGGTGTGAGAAGCGTGGTTAAATTCCGCTGTTTGTAGATTTTAAAAGCCTTCCTCGCCCGCATCATGAGATGTTTACAATTAAAATACTAATCAAAATAACTGATACTGATTTCGAAATATTATCTTGAATTAAACGTTAACTTATACTTTCCTGGTTTAAACCTCCTTGCTCGTGGAAACTTAATTTAGTAGCAGAAAAAGATATATTTTTTTAAGAAAGCGAGGATGTAGCGTGGGAGATCAAAATACCTGCACTAGAGTTTAAGTTAGTATGCCAGTGGCTCAGTTACGAACTCAGTTGTTGACCAAATGTCTGACTTTGCAACGTTGAATACCTGACCGCTTTCACTGGCTTAAACAAAAAAGTAAAAAAAAAATTAATGTATATCACTGATACGGTAAAGCTCGCTATATTTCTGATTTCGATGCTACTGTTTTTTTCCTACTTCAGGGTATAGTGTTTTCCCTTCCTTACATGATTCAATTGATTTCGTTCGAGCCAGTATCCTACAAACTTCACCACTCTACTAATTCACAGTAAAAAGCAAAACACCAAAGGGACCCTTTTTGTTTATTTGTTGCTTGTTTGTTTGTTGGCTAGTTTTCTTTTCTTTTTGTTTTCTTTCCAATGTTTTATTGTTATTATCATTATTATTATTATTATTATTATTAGTGTTATTATTAGTACTATTATCATTATGACTATTTTTGTTACAGTAACTATTGATGTCTCTTTGTTTGTTTGTTAGTTGCTGTTTTTTGAACCATCCATGCATTTTGCCGTAGTACTGGTGCTATTTACTTTTTACCCCTCTGGTACTCATTTTTTCTTGCTACTGCACTAATATATAGCCAATAGCCTTAATATTTTTATCATCGTGATCTTCCTTATGTTTGACAGCGTTGTCGCAAGTGTTTTCTTCCTGGAGATATCCTCCTGTGCCAAATCCGATTCTAGAATCACAGCTTTGACAATCCTTCTGTTCATTACTTATGATACCAATTCTTGCTTTG